GGAAACTCTCTGTAATCAGGCACTAACTGTCATGCTCGTTAATGTGTGCTCCGGAAAGTTGTAGAAACAGGCTGATTTTGCAAGGATTATGAAGGATAATGTTTGATTCAATCGCACCATGCTTCGTGATCTGCTATCTTCAACTTCAAATTTGCAAACTTTCAATTTCATACCAACTTCAAATTTCAAAGTGCACATTACATACATTCTCACAAATTTACGGCTTCCACAGAAATACAATTAGTAAGACATTAAGGACCAAGAAGAAACTAAGCATATATCGAATCACTCGCAATTCAGTATACAAATTTTGATATTCAGCTGTTCGACCTCTCTCGATTTTCATCCAATTGCATAACTCCTCCTCCAGCAGTAGCTTATCCTTCTTCATTCTCTCTGCCTTCGTTTCGGCCAGCCTTAAGCTTTCTTCCATCTTCATCATCATACCGTCAACATCATTGTTTCGTGCCTCTGATATATCAGAACTTGAATCCACCCAACGAAAAAAATTGCACCCACATTTCGGATCCTGCAAAATTAACGTTCCTAAGACACAATAGCATTGGAATAGTTCATAGAAACAACGATCTGCTTACCATCCAATTAGGGCAGCCATAAAACTGTCTGCCTGGGTTCAACTCAGTCCCAGAAATTTGTACCAAAGCAGGGAGTTTGCACTTGCAAATGACAGCACCAACGCCTTCACTTTTGATGTTCGTTGATCCAGAATCGCCCAAATCCCTCCCGACGTTTCTCCGCCCAACCCTGCGCGACATGCTTCCTCGGCGCGACTGGATAAATCGGCGACAGGAAAACAGAGGGAGAAGTGAGGAAATGGGAAGGACGGTTGGAGAAGGAGAAGGCGATGGGGAGGAGAGAAGGAGAAAGCGATTGGGAATATGGGGGGAGAAGGCGACGGCGATGGGTAAGAGAGAGCGGCGGCGGCGATGGGTAAGAGATCGAGATCGAGAGAGAGCGGCGGCGGGGATGGGGCTTTTCTCCGCAAAACCTAGAATGGGGGATTGATAATGGTCGACGGTTGAAGATAGGGTAATAATAAAGAAAGTAAAAAAAAAAGTTAAAAATGACGTGGATAAATGATGTCGAGTTGGCGATGATGTGGCGCCCGCGTGGCATCCACCTCAGCGTCACGGAGGGCTTACTGACGCCGTCTGTTTTTCCGTTTATGTTAGTAACGGAATTGGCTAAATTTGCCAGTCAAGTTTTCAAAAGTGGCTATACGAGTGTATTTTTCAAAAACTGGCTATATTTGTCACAACGCGAATAGATTTGGCTATGAAAGTGTATTTTGCCTAGATTCTACTAACTCAAGCTTCAAGTCTTCGATTTTCAAGTTCTCAACGGAAAAAAAAAACGAGGAAAAATTGGTGTTACTCCATTTTTGTCCATAAACTCATCGGTACCTAGTGGGTTGAGTTGGATTTGAGATTTCAAAACTCATTGGGATTTTCCGAGGTTTTTATGGGGATACCCATTAGGTTGGGTTTGGATATGTATGACAGAACCGACTCAACCCAATCATTGTCATCCTATATCATGATCCTTTTCTATGCATAAGTATAGTAAAATAAGATTTTTATTCCTAGTTATAAAAAAAATTATTAGAACAATCACACTGTTTTTTATGAGATTTTACATTACATTCCTCACAATTTGATTAGGAATAACTTTTTTTAAATATGATTCATGAGCTTAATTACTCAAACTGTTCCCCGATTGCTCAAACTGGTAACTAATCCTAATCCGAATAGGACTCGGATTACTTGTTCTTCCATGCAGCAACTTCAGTGTCGACACGAACTTTAGCCTCTTCGTTCGAGCCCTTCCAAGCATCAATTTGGTCACCCAATTCCACTTCGTTGTAGTAGAAAGTACATACTTTCATGTGGTAGGCACCTTGAAGCTCGACTCTTATTGGATTCCTTCGAATGAGTCTCCAAAAGTATCTTCCCGAACACCCTTCCTGCCTTAGCCGATTTCTGGCAGTTTCTCGGTTTCACCATAGGTTTTTTGGTACGCTTCAAAAACGATCTTCCTCGCTTTCCCTTGAGCTCCCAAACAACCCAGCTTGTAGATAAACTTTCCAGCTTCAAAACAAGACCCCAAACACCTATTTCCATCGAGCCATTTGGAAGGAACATGCTTGAGAAGGTGGCTACCAGAAACCGTGAAATGACTTAGCCAATTTTCAGGGCTCTGGCCATAGCTTGAGATAACTTCTTGAACAAGCAATGGTGACTTGTAGAGGAGGCCATTTAGGATCATATCAGACAATGTCAGGGAAAACTCGGCGGCTAGAGGGCGACGATAGCTGCAATAGGTGAATCCACCGTCGCTACCACATATTCGGATGAATTCATGGTGTAGACATTAGGGTTTACGATATAAGGCATCAAGTGACCCTTAAATCTAGTGATTGGCTAACCACTATTCAGTATTCAGTGATATCATATTGGATTTTTATCTAGATTACTAATTACTAAACCCTTAACAAAGGAAACAAATAGACGCAGCTTATCTCACAAGTGAAACACTTTGCAGCGTTCATCTTTTGTCCTGCGAAAAGCTATAATATGTCCCTCAATAACAGGAAACGCCCCATTTCGGTTATAGAGCAGGAGCCAATTCAATTCACAACCATAAAGTTGCAAAAGAGAAAATAAAACTCCTTCAAAAAGAATCCGAGATGAACAACTGCACAAACTTGGCACAACTTTATCACATTCAAAGTGTGACATCAAACGGGTATTGCATAGCAGCAGAGCTCATCGACACACACGAAAAATCGAGACAAAGATTTCGGTACTATCCAAACTAACAGAGACTAATTAGATACGAAAAATCGGGACAAAGGGTTCGGTACTATCCAAACTAAACAGAGACTAATTAGTCAATCACAACAAAGACTGTTGAATAACCACTACAATCTTGAGAAATGATACAAACACTAATCAGTAAAATCAAATGAAAAACCATATATACACAACAAAGAAGCGCCAACGATTAACCGATCAATACAGAAAATTATTTATTTAACCACGCCAATACAAGTACTAGCTAGCAAGCTAGGTGTGCCTAACTTCATGTACTAGTACTACAACAAAAAGCTTACATATATAATAAGGCAATCATGAGATCTGAGATGTTCAACCTTAATGATGTTCATGATGATGATTATTAGGAGTGTCTTGCTACGTTCTCCATCATTAATTACCACCATTACTATCATTTTGATTACCGGCACTATTACCATGATCATAACCACTATTGTTATTGCCAGCATTATAGCCACCATTGCTATCATTTTGGCCGTCGCCGATTCTTTGAGTGGCGCCTTCAATCCCCTCCAAGCTTACGGCCTAATGGGCTTCTGCCCTTACTTTTCGTGACGCCTTCGACACGGTAACCCCCACCTTGGTCACCGCCGCCTTCGGGGGCCTCCGTCGCCTCATCGGCGGCGGCGGCGGAAGCAACGTCAGGAAGGGTTTGGACAGCAACGTCGTGACCAGGAAGCCTTTTAGCGACGGCGGGAAGCAAGGTCATGTTAGTAGCAACGACCAAGAGAGATAGGATGACGGCGACGACCAAGTTGGTGGCGAATACTCTCGCCATGACGAGCTCCTAGTCAAATTTTGCTGGTGTTTATTGATGGAATTGGTACTGGTTGGTTGATATCATTATGATCAACATTTAAGTCTATATATAGAGAGATATTGGATCGAATTCGTAGCGTGCAGATTTTTTATGTGAATTATCGGACAAATCAATTTGCAACAGAAAATACACTAATCAAATCAATTTAAATCGATCGCGATTTAGAGAGCGTTGTGTATGCTTAACTAATGGAGGAAGTTTTAGTCATATCTCATGTCGAAACAACAATGTAATTTTCATGCACACTCAGCTTTTGCTGGCTGTAATCGTCTAGTGTTGATTATTTTCTAGAAAAAATCTCACATCTCCATTTATAATTTGATTATCCATTAGACCATTACAGTCATTGTTCAAAGCGACACCAAACATTTTCTAATCCATCAATACGTGCACCAGTTGAACAGAGCATAATTTTGATTTGGTTGTTGTCCCGGATTTTAGATTCTAGGCTTTTGATATTGGATTTTCTATCTGTTGAATCATTAGTAAGCTAAGCCCTTAACAGAGGAAACAAACAAGTAGATATGCAGCTTTATCTCACTAGTGAAACACTTTGCAGCGTTCTTTTTTTTTTTTTGTCCTGCCAAAAGCTGTAATTTTGTCCCTCAATAACAGGAAATGCCCCATTTCAGTTATAGAGCAGGAGCAGATTCAGTTCACAGCCCTAAAGTTGCAAAAGAGAGAGAATAAAAATCTCTTCAAAAGAAGCAGAGATGAACAGCTGCACAAACTTGGCACAGCTTTGTCACATTCAAAGTGTGACGTGAAAGGGTAAGCATCGCAGCAGGGCTCATTGATACGCAGGAAAAATCGAGACATTTCAGTACTATCCATGCTAACAGAGACTCGGCCTAATTAAACATAACCAAGAAGCTTTGAAAGATTGCTGAGGCTGCCCTGGCCAAACAACAACACATTCAACTGACACAGATCTGCATCTTGATCGCCACCACTAGCACAGCTGAGACGTAGTCGTTTTTGGTCAATCTCTAGCTGGGCTACTAGCTACCTTCTAATTCAGGTTTCACAAATGCAGCAATGGCATGTTGTGGAACGGGACTGTTCGAGATGAGTTACATTCATAACAAAAGGAATCCTTTTACTTGCTCAGACGCAAGAGAGTAGATAAAAGTTTTCTGGGATTCCTTTCACCCAACAGAAAAATCAAACAAGATCTTGGCTGATCATGTTGTCAAAAATTTCCTAGCTGAATTCAAGTGATGGGGAAAGACATATGTGTGCTCCATAGATTCATTTAAGTACATCAATAAATGATGCTTTGGCTTCCAATTTGAGAGGCCAGTTTGTGGCACATGATTGACACCGAGACCGTCATCTCAAATGTAAGCATTATCAGAAAGCAGTTACATTTGCAGAACTTTTAACGAAGTTGACATTCAGAAATGGATGCTACAAGTCCAGGACCAGTATAAAAAAGGATGAACAACATGACATTCAAGTAGTTTCAAACCAACATCATGAACATTAAGAACCAAACCTTACGTTTACATTGGCTTCATACTATCACGAGTACAACATACTTATAGAGTCTAAGTAGTGCCGTCGTTCGTTTTGATTATAGAGACAAAGTAAGCATCCGGGTCTCAGTAGGCACTTACTTTGGCTCTTTAGGAAAATGCAGCTTGATCAGTGCAGGAAGTTCAGCTAGTTCAACCTGAGACCGTCCAAGAAGGATTCTTTTCAGCTTTTCATCACAATTGACCACGTTCTTGTTGTTGGAATCCTGGTAAGCAAGGTGGGAAGGAATGAGAAAGACCAAAAAGAAAAACCATGTCAAGAGAAGACAACAAAAAGCTAGTAAAGATGGCAAAAACCTGGAGATTGTTGGCTTTGATGTAGGACCAGACACGCGTGAAGCATCCCAGGCGAGAAATTTGAGACTGACCCACAAAGTCTCGCAGAGTCGAAGGAAGGTTCACTAGATCAATCAAATTAGCAATCTTCTTGGGGTTGTCTGCAACAGCCTTCTTCACTCGCTGCGGCAGCATCGTAACTCAAGCTCTCGTCTTTGATTTCCTTCTGCAAATCGGAGTGAAAGAGAACCATAAAAGCCATGCTAAAATTGAACAAAAAAGAAGTGCTATCCCGTCCCAGAGAAAAGTGCTAAGTAAAGAACATTTATTTTGATGGAGAAAAAGCTCACTGGGGAATTCTGTCAAACACCTCGCGTGCTTGATGATCACCGACGAAGAATTACGAACAGTCACAGCATGAGAGTTCAGTTAAGCGAGATTTGGGGCCTGCCGGAAGTGCAGTTACTCCGCCCGTTCGGACTCTATAGGGACCGTGAGTCTTGGTAGCGCTCGTGGGATTTCAGAATGTTATTGTCTCTTCGCTCTGCTGCTATTGTTCGCTGCCTTAATTAGGTCAAACTCGAAACTCAATTCATGGTTTTGACGATCAGTCGCAGAACTTGCTTGAGTATGAATAATTATATAATTAATCTCTAATCATATAATCCATTGTCGTCCAGCGGTTAGGATATCTGGCTTTCACCCAGGAGACCCGGGTTCGATTCCCGGCAATGGAACCTTTTTATGTTTTCTGAAAGGGTGAATTTATCGTTATCCCGTCCAGTTTACTAGAGAAAGTTTTATTATCAAACTGCTGGTACAATATAGTTTTTCAATGCGAAGAGGAGGAGTTACGGTTAGGGGTGTCGGTCCGGTTTTGGGTTTTCGGGTTTAACCGAAACCGAACCGAGAATGGTGTTGTCGGGTTCGGGTTTTCGGTTTCAGCTTGAATATGCGGGTTATCGGTTTCGGTTACGTTGTAACCCGAAACCCGAGAAGAACCCAAAAAACCCGATACCGACCTCAACTCTGCGTTATGCCCTTTCGGGTTTGGCAGTTCGACTTCAGTCTTCGAGACTTTCTCATCTCATCTGAAATTCTCAAGCCTTTTAATTTCAAGGCATCGACAGAGGAATGAGGTGAGTACAGAGGTGGTTTCGCCTCCCACGGTTCAGGCGGCGCATCTGGGATTCCGGGTAACGTCGGCGGCGCATCTGGTTCCGTTCGAGATCGAAGCTGGGTAACGTCAGGCGTCGCATCTAGGTCTGCTCGAGATCGAAACTCCACGTTGGTAGCGCAACTGGGTAACATTGGGCGACGGATCTGGTTCCGTTCAGGTCGAAGCTTTCCTCGTCGGCAGCGCATCTGGGTATGTCGTAACGTCGGGCGCCACATCGAAAGCTTTCTCCGATCTGGTTTTATGGTTTCCCAGATTCAATTCCTCCCCTGGTTTCATCGATTCCTTTCCTAGCTTCGTCAATCCGAACAATTCTCGTGGTGGTGGGATGGTGGCAGAGGATGCAAAAGCAATAATGAAGCAGGAGCCGGTCGGAAAAAAAAAAAAAACAATGAAGCAGGAGGGTGCGGTAGGGATTGGAACAATTATGGGGTGAGGATGAGATGGAATTGAAAAGTAACAAGCAGTTCTTGGTGGGAGTGGAGGCGAGGAGAAGAATGAATGGAATAGAAATTGGGGTTTTGGAATTAAGAATGAAACAACAATGTTGCTGGGCGGAGTGTTCAAGGAGGAGGACGTTCGGTTTTCGGGCTCAAGCAAACCGAACCGAAACCGCCTATACACTTTTCGGGTTCGGGTACCCGAAACCCACAAGGCAACAATTCGGGTTCGGTTTCGGGTTACATGCAAAGGGCAGGTTCGGGTTTTCGGGTTTGTGGGTTTCGGGTTCGGTTACCCGACCCGAACCGAACAGACACCCCTAGTTACGGTGCTAATTGTACAAGAGTTAGCACCGTCCTAACCAAGAGAAAAACTACTACTAGTTTGAATTAGTAGTGATTTAGCTTAGATGTTGTATTGATTTTATAATAATCCGTAGTGATTTTGTTGTTTTTAGTAGCGTTTTTTGCTAGTTATCACGGTGCTAACCACTATAAGGGTTAGCACATAATCCCATCCCATAGACGAAACACATACTGCTAAACAGCGGTTCGCATTTTACAACCCTACATTTAGTTCTTACTTCCTACCTACTACTAATGGTCACAATTTTTACAATCCTCTTGCTAAAACACAATCAATCCATATTCCATGCTCAAACATCTTCAAAACCCCGAGTAAGCTAGAACTTCATAGAGCTCCACATTTCCAAGACTGTAATTCTGTAATGATGAACCTCGTGCTCTTGCTCCGCACTAAGTACGGGTCATATCGGGTAATACACGAGGTGATACAGAAGGGACGGGTCAATTCATTCTTATACGTTAGGTGAAAAAAGATCGTCGATATTTTACCATTTTATACGGATACATAGAGAAAACACTATATAAATGAAAAATGAATATAGTAGAAGGAATAGCTGAGTCTAAATAGTTGAAAGATAGTGCATTAAAAAAAATTTGGGATGAAAATATGATTTTAGTTAAGTCAAAAAAAGAGAAATACACGTAGATATTGATGCGAATCATGATAAAGCGGATCGAGAATAGGATAGGACAAGTCAGAAGCAATACTCATGCATCACCCCGAGCTATTGTTGGTCGGGGTACGCGCGAGTCAGATCAGAAGTTGACATCCCTACCACTGTCCACCGACCCTTTATTACATGATTGAACCACTATTTCATCATAAGTAATCTTATCGCCCATTCTTATCATACAATCTCCAGCACGGTTTTACCACCACTTAACTTTTTTTTAGAGAATTTTCCCAAATCTAACTTTGATTGGAACATTATTATGCGATAAAAGTATCAACAACAACATGGGACTCAAAACATAGGAATTAAAAGTATCTAATTCACATCTATTTTTTCACAAGTACTAGTGTCCTCCTCACACTGTAAAGTGTAAACAGCATAATTCTGCCGGACTACCCATTTGCCGGATTTCATCGCCCCATTATTCATCTCCTTCCACCGGCCACCACCAACCGCCATTTTCATTTTTATACCCAGCTGCTTCTTCCTTCTCGTTACCATCGCCGGCGCCTCCCCTCGCTGCCAACCCATGAACGATATACAACCCCGGCAGCTGCAGGCCTCCGATTCCCGCCGCCTCCGTCATTCTTTTCCATAAGCATTGTCCAAATGGCGACCGACTCTGTTTTTCTTCATATATATAAAAACAGAGCCGTTCCACCACCACATTTTCTTCCATCAAAATCATATAATTGGCATCAAATTCTTTTGCGTTTTCCATCCGAATTGGATGTTATGGCGCCTCAGCTCTTCTCCTGCTTCGTCTGTAAACCGCAGATTGTCAGCAACGATGCCGATTCCGATGAAATAAAGCGCCGGCACAGATCCAAACCCGTCGTCACTCCCCAGAATAGCTCCGGCAGCGGCGGAAGGAAACGAGGGGAGGGGAAACTAGAAGGGGGTGGAAACCACAGGAAATCCAACAGCTTGTCCAGCTACCCTGGCGGCGGCGGCGCCGGAGGAGGAGGGAGACACTCTGGCCGGAAGCAGAGCGCCGTCGCCAGAGCTGTTATAGAGGAGGAGAGTTACGCCGGTTCTCCAGAGGAGTGGATGAATCAGAGCGGCGGCGGCGGAAGCCCGAATTTCGTCGGGGCGAGGAAATCGGCGAATGGGAGGATGGAGGAAGTGGAGGAGAGCTTCGCGGCAGAAGACGATTGGAATTACAGAGGACGAGGAGGAAATAACAACACGAAGTTTAATAGTAACAAGAGGACTCAGGGGAAGAAATCGCCGGCACGGCGGCTGGATGAGGAGATGGATAGCTTCGCCGCCGGTGGGTTCGAAGCCTCATCTTTCAGCCGGAACTGGGAGAAGAGCCAGGCGTCGGTCAGTTTATCGGAGTGGGCAATCGTCTGCAGGCCCACTGCCGATCAATAAACAAACCAATCTGCAGTCATGACTACGTAAGCACATTTGGGTTCCTCCGGCCGGCGAATCTCGATCGGAGAAGATGGCTGACAATCAGAATTTTTAATTTGTTACAACTTGATAACAACGATTCCTAATGTACGATTCCTTATCTTTCTATTAATTTGTTTCTGTTTTACCTTTTTCGTGACATTTTCAGTGTTCTAGCCGTTGGGTTATTCACATGTTAAATAAACAATCATCTTCTTTTTTCGACTGCTGAAAATGAAAAGCTCGAATAAATTGTAAAACGAATATCCAACGAGTTCAATAGCAACGTTATTGGTACATTATTGTACGAGATTAATAACATTATGGAACTAACAAAACTGTGAAATGCACCCCTACTCAAGAAAGATAGACAAACTACTAGGGTACTGCATTACATCGAATCAAAGCATAAATACAGCTCAAACTAGCACGACGCGCGTGCTCCTACGATATGTAGGAGACTACACAATGAATCTCTCGGAAACTCTTAAATCTCGATTCTAGTTGAGAATCATACCTGCTGCTATGATCCCCGGGATCGATTTCCCTCTTAGTCGTAAGGGTTTTTGAAGTTCTTCAAGAGATCGGGGATGTCATACCCGAGCATGTCATCGACAGCTTGGATCATTTTCGGCTTCAACTTCTCGAACTTGTCGATGTTGTAACCACTTAAAACCTCCTTGAAATGCTCTACATTTGGGAAATCACCTGGAGGTAAGTGAAACTCCCTTTGAACCTGGCAAAACAATGAAAGGTCGTCTAGTGAGATTGTAGTGCAAGAAAAATGGCAATGAAAGTGTCCAAGGCATTTAGGGAGAGGGAGAGGGAAGAGAGAGACCTTTCCAAATTCGTCTGCCAAATTATCGATTAGTCTTTGCTGAGCCTTTGCTTTACCCATCATGGATGGCATCTCCTTTTTAAGGTGGCTGATAATGTAAGCATGTATCTTTGCAGCCCTAGCACGCTTCACAAATTCATTGATCTGTCATAGGCAACCATAATTAGTCACTTCCTTAAACCTAAGCTCCAACTAAGTGGTTGTTTCAATACCAGAAAACTATCTTCTATCTCATAAATGAATTGCAGGGTTGTAATGATTGGTATGTTTGTGAGATATATGTGACATTTCAGGTACTCGATAAAGGTCAAGGAAATAAGCATGTAGTCTGAACAGAGATTAATAAATATTCCTGCACCAGGTCATGCTATGGAAACTTCTAAATGGAGGGAAGGAACTCACTCTGCGATCACAAGCCTTCTTAGGTATATCTTTTAGATCAGAGAGAAGGTCAGACTGTTCTTTCTCAAAAAGCTCCTTACCAAGTGGCCCAACAGCATCTTCACTAACTGGTTTGTCGTTGAATGAGCTGCCAATCAATGAGAAGCATCAACAGTTGGTCATAAAAACAGCACATAATCAATAACAAGATAGCAGTACATAGTCCTGAAAAAGACTAAAGCAGGTAATACATCATGATGATAACCTATATAAGAGCATAACATTAGCAAGAAAGAAAGCTTTTGTATGTCAAGAAATGATCATGCAGCTGCGTAAACAACATGGAATGTGTACATTTTGGAATATATGGATTTTCCTATTGGAACCTAGATACAGGCTATAGAAACTATGGAGAGATAATCAGCACTCCCAATATTATATGAGATTGACCAAACCTTTTCAAATGAAAGGACATTAGGTTTTTTATCAGCTATAGACTAGTCTACAATTCTCCACACTGAAGGCAATATATGTTGACAAGAATCAAGAAACTTAACTATGACATAAAACAAGTATTTGTTGTGTGCAGCTAACATGAAAGTTTGCAACTTGACATCAAATTATAACTGGTAAAATATATTACTACTAGAAACACATACCCTATATAGACACGCATAACTTCAGGAGTATTGAGGACTTTCCCCAATGACCACATCAAGGCTCCATAAACTCTCATTAGCTGCATTCAGATAACAACTAAGTAAATAAACCACTGCACAGCCAATCCATCATACAAGTTATTTGGAAGTGTAATTACTTGTTGTGTATCAACTTGGTCTGCCTTGTTCAGAACCACCCTAATCTTGTCATCATGCCCACGTAGAGATGAAATGACACGCTTGAACTCATCGCTAACATCAAGTTTGTGAGGGTCGAAGAGAAGCAGAATAAGGTCACACTTTGCAGCAAACCATGACGTCACGCCCGTGAAATCATAAGCCCGGTGGATTCGTTGCTTTTCTCCAGATAGCACTCCAGGTGAGTCTACAAATGTGATTTGCTCCAGCAGCTTCACCAAAACAAAAACTCTCACACACTAAAAGGTGACATGAAGATAGCATTATAATATAGTGAGTGACTTACAGGATGCGGCATTTGAGAACATTCAAATTTTGACAGAAATGCAGTTCCAAAAGTTGTTAGTCCACTGAATGGCATGTCTGCCTGAACTGCCACAGTATTACCTGGAATACTTCTCTCATCTGGTCCAGACTGCATAAGAAGCCACCGGCGAAAACATAGCATTTCCACAGTTAGGGTATCATATCGAATGTCAATTTAGAAACAAGAATGCCAAACAAAAGAAAATTGTTTGGAATCTCATAGTTTAGTGCCAAAAGCAGATCTAGAAGACCGTACAATTCTATAAATACACCACTGAAGCATTAAACAAGAAAAGGTAGTTAAAAATTTATCAACACCTGTAAGAATCAAAACTGGGGAGTTCGGTTCCTAATAGTATAATATTGTGAGCTTTCTATGAAAACACGAATCTAAAGCAGAGTGCCTTCTGAACAACTGAAACATGTAATAAAGTTCTAAACGCCTGAAGAAAAAGTTTTATTGGGAGCTTCTCTGAAACATATAGTTAGGAAGCACAGCAAGAAAACAAAGGAAAGATCAAACCCACAAAAATGCTGCCTCGTAAGTTCAGAACAAATGTTCATCTTATAAACATTAAGAATCCACCGTCAGCACAAATATTTATTTCACTCGATATAAACTACATATGATACCATCGAATGGAAGGAGCTCCTAAAGAAGAAGGAAACTCTTACGGAAAAGGTATTTGCACTCAAGATTGGAATTTTTTTAGTCAATAAGAAAATGACTTACTAAAGACGAGCTATTCATTCACGTGGCTAGGTAGACTACATGCACAAAGTCAAATTTGATAAAGAATAGACATAAAAGGGCTCCCTCAGTACCATAACAACCACAAATCTGTCTGTGGTAGGTTCGGGTCCAATATGAGCTCCTGCCATTTAGAGGAAATGATATTTAGTAGAAGGAAAATGAAGCCTTCCAGGCTTTTATAAGCACACCAAAGCAAAGCAGACTCACCAGGATAGCTACTTTTAAGTAGATGTTTTATGAATGTAGTTTTCCCTGTGGAGTACTGGCCCAATAGCATAACCATGGGTTTGGCATCAAAATCACTATTTGTCTGCAATAAACAGCAAAACAAGATATCCTGAACATAAGTTAAGCAGATTCAAAGTGCAAAATGCCCACGGCTCATAACAAGCATATCCATAATCAACATTATGCAAAACTACCAAGGAACATTAATACTGACCAATAGTGGAGATACAAAGTCATTAAAGCGGTAAGTAACTTCCAATGGCTTCAGCTTTTGAAGATACAGCTTCTTCAAACCATCAACTATGGATGTCACAGAGGATAGTGGGACCTGTGCATCGAATGAAATTCAAGTAGACAGGAAATTGAAGGAATCAGAGAAAGTTGTTACATTTATCTATTGAAGAAAACAAGAAAAAGGCAATTACAGCATGCATATGAACCAAAAACATATGCAACATAGAGAAGACACATAAATAGAGCTGGAAGATGATCGCATGAATCATGAATGAAATAGAGCTGAAAGAGGATTGCATGAACCATGAATGTGGAGCCAGAACATTTGAAATCCTTATATCCCCTTCAAATGGATTCCTAGGAAAAGGTAACAAAGTGTGAGCAGCACCCCTCCCTAAACCACTTTTAACGCAGTTCGAGGTCCAGCTAATATTAAGGAATGGGGATTATACAACCTCAACACTAGTGAGAAAATTCAACGTTCCTGGGAACCCTCACATACAAATAGAAATGCACAACTGTATCTCAACACATAGAACCTTGAGGATAGTTTTGCATCTTAACCTGCTGCTACCACTTGACACTGCTATAGACATAAGCTCTACACGGGAGGGCTAAGCACCTGAGCAACAGAAAGCAAGCACAGGGATTTCTCCTAAATGCAGTGGATAAAGTAATGTTCAGCACTAGCTAGCTCACTATACTGCAACGAACTATAGCATCACTATCACACCAAAAGAAAAATCCAACAAAACAAACCTTCTTTACAGATTTCGAAGAAGAAAACCAACGTCCCGAAGGTGAGGTTTCAACCGGAGGAATACCTGCATTTTCACGAATCAATGAATGTCGGCATACAAGGATAAACCAAAGTACAAATATGCATCACTGCCAAATGTTCTTACCATTAGCATCAAAATCAGCTGATCTGGAGGTCGGCCTCCTTTTCTTCTGCGCAGAAAAAATCTCTAAATCGTAAAATATATCCTCTACAAAGAGCAACACACAACAGTGACAGAGAACTTACAGCTAAAAGTTCCGCTAAACCTTCCATCATGGGAGGAGGCACATTTTCAAAATCAACTGCGATTCCAAGCAAAGATTAGTAATAATCATCAGAACTAGACAGAAGCAAGCTCAGTACAGCCTAATAAGGTACAAAAATAAAAACAAGTTTGACAATTTTACCATCGCTGTGCAGGATTTCACTTGATATCTCCTTCCCAGATTGTGCCAGGGAAACTAACTAAATAACCAAAGCGAGTTACAAATCAGGAAACAATTATCAACCAATAGACAGAGCGAAGTCCAATAATGTAAAACCTGCATAGCGATGATGAACTCCTTAAATCCAAGGTATCCTTGCCTCTTCGTGTCCGCCATAGCCCACACCTTCAGAGCAACAAACACAAATTATCACCATGACACAAGGAACTAACTAACCTCAAGCGACTAAACCAAGCTACAACGGACGCATACCTGTTTAAGATCGGGACGAGGCAAATTCGACATGCCGAAGAATTTAATAGCGTCGTTGCCAGTAATTCTACCGTCTCCATCTACAACCAAAACACCACAACAAAAGAGAATCGCCATTTCATTTCTCCGGCAAAGAGCAAATCAATCTAAAGCAACGGTGACGGAACAGGTAGAGAAAGACTAGCAGGCGGGGTTCACCTGAATCGGCGTAGTTGAACCAATCGTTGAAGATCTTCTGGAACTCTTTGTTGCAGGAACCGATTGGAGAAGGAGATATCTCCATGGCGCCCCTCCTCGCCGGAAGATCGGACGGAGCAGGTGATATCCGCGGAAACGGCGACGGCGATTGGTTTATAAAGAAGGGCGCTTTGGTTTTGAAAATTTGTAGGGGTGTTTTAAACGTATAGGTGCGAGAAAGGGAATTTTGAACGCGAAGGTGGGCAGAACACTTTCTTTTCGTTTGTTTTTATGTTTTCTGTTTATTTTCCGTTAATCTCCTAGGGGAAATGGATCAAACAATAGTTTAGTGTCGTCCTGCGGTAGCTTTTAAAAACGAAAATCACTTCTAAAAGTCGGGCCAAACATAGACAATAAAAATGAATTCCACTACAACAAAACTCATATATAGCGGCTAAGAGAATTTGCCTCTATAAGTATATTATTTGCCTCTGTATATATTTAGAGACAGATAATACATTTGCCTCAAATACTCTAGTGGCTATAGCCCTATAGAAGCAAATATAGCGGCATATATTATCTGTTGATGATTAAGGATTTTCTAACTAATATATTAGTCGCTAATGTCGTTTTTAGTTTGCCTTTATATCCAATATTAGAGGCTTAATTATTTGCCTCTAATAAACTTGACTCTACTAGCATCTATAGAGGCATATATTTTTGTTTATGAAATTAGTTAATGAGGCTATTAAATTTGCCTCTAATATTATATATAGAGGCAGATAGTTTGGCTTTTGAAATAATATTTTAGAGCATAATAGATGTATTTTTGTATTGATTTATTGAATTGATTTATTGTACAAGAAATTGATCAAGAAAGACGAATATATTGTACAATATTCCATTGATATGATATTTGAACAAAAGAGTGTTGAATGTACAAAATAAGATTAAGAGAAGGGAAATGAGAGTCCATAAGTGAGAAAAATAGAGGCTGCTTAGCATTGGGGCATATACATTCAACTCTCTAAGCATTGAAACTCTTTGTGCATCCAAGACTTGACTGTTAGAAAGATCATAAATTTCAACTCTGTTGACTCCTCTTCGTACCTGCAGACAAGCAAAGTGCCCTTAGTGCTAGGCTGCTAGCAATATGATTATCATGAGCATTAACCAACTTCACCACTAACCAGATTCAATCTAACAGCTTGCTTCCATGAGCATATGCTCTCCCATCCTACTCATATCTCCATCATAATTCTCCTTCTCTCCTTACCAATGGCTCATATACTCTATAATCGTTGTGCAAGCCAATAACAATAACTAGCTCTGCTGCTAGCCTGGTACAGAAGCAAAAGGATCAAATTAATACTAATTTGGCGTTTACCATTCTTAAAATATTGTATTCCCCAATTCATATTTTAACTTATCTCGTTTATATAACAAAAAGCTTTCCTTTTACCTGCTTGTGGCGATTCACAATATCTGGATCCACGGACCACTCCAAAAGCATCGATAAAATCTGCAACATCGGAAACCCAGCAAAAATTGGAAACCTCAAAATTGTTACCCAATCAGAAAGACAAAACAGAGTAGCGCAGCCCACCAGGCCACCACTTGACCCAACAGTTGAGAGGGTAAAACAGAGTGAAGTAGCAGGATTCGACGAGTGGCGAGGGAGGAGGGAGAGAAGGAGGGCATTCAAGTGGAGGACCCGAGTGATGCAGCGGCGATGGAAGCAGATCTACTTTTATTGACGGCAGAGGAGGAAGAAGACGCCTGCGGTGATTGGATTAGATCTCTCTAGCAAGCTATCCTCTTAACCGATGAAGCAAATCAAAACCACCATGCAAACCTTTCCAAAGCATCTGCGGGAGGAAGATGAAGTATCACGGCTAAGACCATCATCCCCTTCGTCGTGGTGGCAGGTCTAGACACTGATAAAAGTGTCGTGGTGGTCGGAGGATTGGAGGGCGAAGATTGGGATTGAGAGAATTGAGAGAGATTTCAGAGTGGGTGTTAGTTTACAGGGATGATTGGAGAAATCATCGGTTGTGCAACGGTTTAGAAAGGAAGGGGAAATTGATAACCAGATCTAGGTTATTCTTTCCTTCATTTGCTGGAGTTCAAAGGACTCTTAAGCAAAAACGAAAATTTAAAATCCCGCCTCCCCTGCCCAAAACGAAAATTGAGCGCTTAAACTCCCGCGTCCCCAACCCACATTAGCCTCTGAAACTAAAAAAGTATCATGTTCCTGAGTGCCTCTATAAGTATAAATTTATTAGAATTAATTTTATATAGTAAAATTGATGATACAATTAGAGGCAAAATTTATTAGTTATAGAGTTAAATTTTGTATTTGTGGTATATAAGTAATATTTAGAGGCTAATAATAGTATTAATAGAGGCAAATTCAACATGTGTTGTGTAAAAGGTATTTTTAGAGGCAATTGGAAGTTCTGCCTCAACTATTAGTCACTGTAGACAAGTTTTGTTGTAGTGTTCTTTCCGCCAACGTAAGTGCCCACGGGGAGTTCGGATTGCAAGCAAGCGGCGTCGTTTGACATTCATCCTATCTATTATTCTTCGGACTAGGGGCGGAAATCGGTACGGTATCGGTATTCCAATACCAAATACCAAAATCCCGAATACCGAATTACATCCTGAAATCAATCTCAATCCCAATCCCTAAATATTTCGGTATCCCAATCGGTATTATCAAATATAAAATTAATTACCTTTGTCATTAATAATTAAATATATAAATTAAATTTTATTGTTTAATTTAGGGAAAAGAGAAGCGTCTTGAGTTGCCTAGAGCTAACATCTCAAGTTTTTGTAATTGGTAATCTTTAATTTGATGAATTTGAGGTTGACTAATACTAGTGTGAAATAGTGATGTAATGATCTATGTATAATTAAATGACACTCTTGGTGGTTGAGGGTCGCGTAGTAGTGAATGAGAGAGTCTAGTTGAGAGGATAATATACACACTAGCTTATATTTCGGTTTTGATCGGTATTTCGGTATATACCGATCCCAATCTCGTAATCCCTAATACCGAATAACAATTGAAACTCAATCCAAACTCAGTCCCACAAAATAATAAGTGTATTCGATAATACCAAATATAGACAAATTCAGTGCGATATTCGGTATATCTCAAATACCGGTACCAAACTTCCAGCCCTACCTCGGACTATAACACATTTCAAGACATTCATTCCCTCCATTTCGTATCATACCCTACAATAAACGAGCTTTTACTTAAACACTTCAACTAAACCATATCTTTCATTTTCACTAGCAGCTTCATCTTCCCAAAGAGTCTTCGACAATGTTCACGCCATACTTCACTAACCACCATTGTCCACAAAAATCTCCATCGTGATCCAATCACCAATTAAGTCACCCCTTTCGAGTCTTCAATATCTAGATAGTATAACAACATCTCTTGTGTTGTTATTGTAACAACATTAGTCTCCAACCAATAGGAAGCTAGGGTTGTGATGACTTTTTATTAGATGAGTTGACCTAGTGTAAAATTAAAGCAGGGGTATAATTGTCATTATGAAAAATATGTTTAAATAATAATAAAAATTAAAATTAAAAATATTTTTTTATTTTTCGGCCCAAAATTTTGGTCGCCGGAATTCGGTCACCGGTCGCCGGAATCTGGATGCCGGTCGCCGAAATATGCTTTTTTGTCGCCGGAATATGTTTTTTTGTCGCCGGAATATGCCACCGGCGCCGGAATATGCTTACCGGGGGAATATGTCTATCGGCGCCGGAATATGCTTAATGACGGTCATCGGAGTTTGGTCAACGATTTTCGTTAACCGGTCAACGACCAACGGATGATATGGTCTGCATTGTGAGATTTATGGTTTGGTTTCTCATATTTTTGTATGCCTTTTGTGGTTTGCTTTATCGTGTTTGCGGTTTGCATTGAGAAGTTTCTAGTTTGCTTTATCGTGTTTGTGGTTTGCATTGAGAAGTTTATGGTTTGCTTTCAAAAATTTTGTGGTTTGCATTGAGGGGTTTGTGGTTTGTTTTAGGATATTTGTGGTATGCATTAGGAGGTTTCTGGTTTGTTTTTGTGGTTTGCTTTAACGTGTTTGTGGTTTGCATTATGAGGTTTCTGGTGTGTTTTTGAAAATTTTGTGGTTTGCTTTGTGAGGTTTCTGGTTTGTTTTAATATATTTTTGGTCTGCATTAGGACGTTTCTGGTTTGTTTTTGTGGTTTGCTTTACGGTGTTTATGGTTTGCGTTATGAGTTTTCTGGTGTGCTTTCAAAATATTTGTGGTTTGGTTTGTGGTGTTTCTTGTTTGTTTTAGGGAATTTTTGGCATGCATTGGGAGATTTTTGGTATGCTTTTTTATGGTTTGTTTTACCCTGTTTGTAGTTTGTTTTATGAAGTTTCTGGTGTGTTTTGTGGTGTTTTTGGTTTGTTTTAGGAGAGTTATGGTTTGAATAATAAGGTTTTTGGTGTGATTTAAAAATATTTATGGCTCACTTTGTGGTGTTTCTGTTTTGCTTCACGAGAGTTATGTTCTACATTAGGATGCTTTTGATACATCATAAAACAAAAACAAAAAATATATGCTTTTGATACGATCGTCCCGTCCTCCTCCGCCGTGAAGGCGCGGTGCTCGACCTGCGGCGAGAGCTGATTGCACCACCGGAGTCGGCAGGATTTCCCCGAACGCCCGGGGATCGACTTGCTGATTAGCGACCAGTTCCGCGGGCCGTGCTTCTCGACGAGGCGCTGGAGCTTGTCGTCTTCCTTGGGGCTCCATGGACGTTTGATTCGATCTATATCTCTTCCTGTAATAGCCATTTTGATTTTGGTGATATTATCACAAAAGCGAGGGAATAGAATGGAGGCTTTGGCCAGCGGTTGAGATTTCCCGATGGCCAGTAGAGAGAGAGAGAGAGAGAGTTGGTTGGTTGGTTGGTTGTAATACACTACCAGTGGATTAACAGGACACGTGCTGCTGCTGGTTGTGACGCCCGGCGCCGCCACCACCGTAGGAGTAGCTGTCGACGGTGGTGGGGCCGTGGGGTCGAGGAGAGCAGGGAGGTGCGAGACGGCGGAGGGCGGCGAGCTCACCTCCTGGTAAGCGCTGCTGTCGCTGCTCATCGCCGCGGTGGAGCGCGGCTTCTTGGCGGAGGAGGTGGCGGCGGTGTTGTTACTCGCCGTGCAGCCGTTCCCGCCAGCACCCACGTCGGACTTCTGAAACACTCGGGAGATCACCCACTCGTCCTATTCGATCAAAATGAGAGAGTTAATGGGAAATATTAATTGGCGAGTTCTGTGGTGCCGTGACCGCACCCGTGCCGGCTAATTTGCAGCCGTTAGATACACAATATTAGATAATGGCCATTGATCTCTGACCAGCAAATTATTAAAATCGGTTAAACCCATTATTTCGGTTGATTAATCTATTGTTTTCTTCGACTCTCTCGGTGCACTCAATCGCCAGGCGCCAAACAGCCGTTGGGAAGAATTGAACTCTGGCAAAATTCTCCTGCTAGCAGCAGCAACACGATGGCGAACTGAGGATGGTCTTACTGCAACGACGCTGATGGCGATGGTGATTTGGACTGACGACAGGAGCCAAGATCTGGATTTTTTCATTCATAGAAGAGCAAGGTGGATTGCAGCGGCATAGGCGATAGTGGTTATGGCCGGCCGGGGATTACGACGACGATGGTGGTTTTTAATTGATCATTTAGAACGACGAACGGGGAAGTGTGGGGAGAGGGGACTCGGGGAAATAGATAATTTAATTTATTTATTTTACTTTATTTTTTATCTGATCACATTTGAACCAATTCTTTCTTACCAAACCGGTTTAATTTTTATTTCATTAAATATATGAGTATATTTACCCTTATACCCTTAATGAATCCTGTTGTTAGTATAACAACACTTACCCATCTGCTCCTAGTCCTTGACTCCTCGTACATATCTTCATAGTGGTGCCTACAAAAGACGGACCATCTGACGCTCAAGTTAGTAACCATCCAAAACTAAGGAGAGAGTTAACCTCACATTATTCTATTCAGTGGAAGAGGACATCATGATCTATGTCACGAGCTCGATTTCTTGATCTCAGTATCTACGATTCTGAGATTTCATGGCCCCAATAATACATGCTAATGGTGACATCAATGTGACCTCAGTAATCGTTAACCTTCTTCTAAGTAATCGAGTGTAGGACACTCTTGATGAGATGGAGTTATCTTATTGAGAAGATGATAGTATTTAGCTCGAAGTGGATACAAAGTTTTATGGTACTTGACCTTCACATCGAGAGTCGCAACGGCTCTTGTTGATATCATGTGTGCACCCTCACCTAGTCCTTTTGTTCGTGATTGTGATTCCTGCTTGTCCCTTGTCTTTTTTTTTTCCTTTGACAAATGCATTATGTTTCTTTACACACCGTCGAATCACGCATCAAAATGTACACACAACACGAATCTATCAATTCCTCCCTTCCTCTCTCCCACTTGAAAAATAGACCTTATGTACCCATCAATGGGATTAATAACATTTACCTTTCGCCGATGTTCTTAAAGAGAACAATAGTAAATATACATGTGATTTTTTACAATTACTTACAAATCCACATTTCATGGCATATTTTGATCATTTTGCAAGACATTTGTGACAGGTGATTGATCCTATTATACATAGAATCCATCTTAATTAATCAAGTTACAAGAGACAAAAACTCTACACTTTAAGAAATGCCGACGGTCTTCCCTAGCAACCAGAGAACAAGAGCGAGCTCAAACCCAAAAATCGAATGCAGGGTCGTCCTGTCGAGGGTGAACCCATAAACTGTGATCCCTGCTCTGTTGTTCTCGAAGTATGACACTGCCAAAATCACACAAAACCTCAGAAATCAACATCAGCCGATGATGATAACTGTGGATCATCAAATCTTAGTAAAGATTATCTTACCCAATGCTTGTCGCTTCTGGAACGAGAGCGTGCTGTAGGCGTAAGCATGGATGATTTTCGAGTTATCTAGCTCGTCCTCCTCGTCCCCTGCCTCGTCGGTCTCTGTTTCGGACTCCGCAGCACCATCAGCCACCATGGCAGCAGTGGGAGTCTCACCTTCCGTCGCATCGAAGCGCTCTAGCGTGGCGCAAACATTCCACTTAGCAGCCAAGCACGTCACAGCCTGTGCCTTGTGGGTGATCTTCGTCGCGCTTCGCAGCAGAATCAGTATACCCGCCACAAGTGTCATCGAACAGAGCTGCACTCTTAAGAAATTTAGAACCCAAAAAAAAAAAAAAATCCCTTCTTCAACCCACTTACTTAACATTTAATCGACGCATACATACCGCAAGTTCTCCAGCACCGTAGACATCGACGATGGCGCCGGTCTTGGTGGTGGCGAGCAAGGAGGCGAACTGGCTTCCCGTGACCATGATCAAGGTGCAGAGCATGAAGGAGCGGTACCGGTGGCTGATGATCCTGAGGTGCTTCCTGATCTTGAGATGCTCGTACAGCACGTCGCCCATGTCCGAATCGACCTCGAAGAACTTGGCGAAGTCCTGGAGGCGGAGGATCTGGAGGTGGCAGATCAGGTGGAAGAGGACGCAGACGAGGAAGAATATGGTGGTGCGGTAGAGCCACGAGAGGAGCTCCATTGCGCAAGCGACGGTGTCGCTTAGGAGGACGTCGCCTAGGAAGGGGATCTGTGAAGCGCCCGAACCGTACCACCATATCTTGTACGCCGATTCTGCCACGAAACAGGGGAGGACGAAGATCGCCAGCAGCTTCAGTGATCTCTGCACAAAATTATTATAGGGGGAGAAACAGAGCAAATTACAAATCAGTGAATTGCCCAGATTCCAGGCGGCAGAAAGGAAGGAAACAAGGAAGTAGACCGGTAACTCTTGAAGCTCTACATTAATGACTCTTTAGAAAAAACGTAGGGTCCCAGAACAGCCAAAACGTTACGATTGGTTGTTTTATGTGGCTGGGTCCTGAGACCCATATGCGTATTGAAGAGGAGATGGAGTGCCTGTAAATTGACGATGTGGGTCGGAGGTCGTGCTTGATGCCAATCTCTTCTCCGCCACAAATCAATCAGGGTATTATTTGAATGCGGCCTGATATCTCACAATTTTCAACTCCACAAATTCCCATTTTTAATTTTTTTTAAATTACTCAGCAATACTATAAAAAAAATTGAGGTTAGCAAACAAAGAATTCGAAAAACTTAGTACGAGCTAAATAATCCGCGACAAAGTTATTTTTGTCCATACGCGCACACAATTGCTAGTATAGACGAGCATTTTGTGTCAAATAGCAGCAGCAAGGTTATTTTAGCTCTCCTTTTGCATTAAATATAACAAACTTATGTTTTAACATTTTTTTGCAGTGTGATTGAATCAATCACCTGATTACTTGCTTAGGAAGGAGAGGAATGGGCATTGTAGCAGGAAATCCAGAAAATTGAGAAGCAAGCAGATTGTGAAAAATTCAAAAAGCAGAATGAGTGAAATGAAGATTTTAGGAAGTGAGATTGGAGATTTGGAAAAACCCTTACATCGAGCTTCATGGTGTATCCTTGCCTGACGGTGTCGCTGTCGTGGCAGAGGCGGTCGAAGAAGAGGAACCTGCGGAGGCCGTACTTGCGGCCGAACCTCGACAGGCAGAGGAAGGAGAGCGAGGCGACGCCGCTGAGCGAGATCTGGACGACTCGATCGAAGGGCCGCTCGTGCGTGCTGTCGCAGGAGGAGCAGGCGAGGACGAAGTGGGAGACCGCCGGGACGACGAGCGCGAGGAGGACGAAGACGGACCAGGAGAAGGAGGCGGACCAGAAATCGGACTGGTCCAGGCACATCCACCGGAGGCAGTTGCGGAAGGACTGCAGCTCGTCGGCGGCGTGCGATATGCTCCGGGAGAATTTGGGATTCGTGGCGGCGGGGGCGGCGGCGGCTGCTCCGCCGCCGCCGTCGGCGAAGTAAGTTTTCCTGACCAGACTCTCCCTGGCCTGTTCCATGGCGCGCGTTTGGAATTGAATTCGAGTCAAGGAGGGATCTCTCTCTCTCTCTCTCTCTCTCTCTCTCGAATTTGAGAGGATAGATAGAGGAGTGAGATCCGTCGGAGAGGAAAAACCCGAAAAAGGGAGGATGTGAAGTTTCCGCCTGTGACTGTGAGGTGGATTGGCTTCACGGGGAAGATGCTGATGCAGGAACTGAGGGGAGCTGTCCAACTGTATATATATGTGGGGAGCGTTTCCCGGCGGAAAAGGAGAAGCCAAGAAAAAAAAGCTATAATCCGCGTGGCAGACTGCGATTCGTTGAATTGAATATTCTGGAAAATGAATGTCCTCCGGACTGTGATGGATCCTATTTACGCCGTAAATCATCTCAATTATTGTAACTCGCGTTTGTACTCTGTAGAGATTCCAAGGAAAATTTTTTTCCTCCTTTCTTGTAAAAAGTTGGTCATAAATCATAATCATATGAGAAATAACCACAACTGTGGAAGGCAATTGAACTCGAACCAACAAATGTTCTACTCAGTGGTCGAAGTAAGATTTGAAACTACATGTGTCCTTTTTTTCATAATACAAATATATAAATATTTACTTATTAATTATTTAATAAATATAATTAAAATTAATTATATCAAAATAATAATAACCGATTACTATAATCATTGTGTTCATAAACAACTACAATAGCTTTTCATATTCTGAAAAGAAACTCAAAATATATTCGTTATCTACACTCTTAAGTCTCTTTCAATGTATCCCACTAAACAATCATTAGCAAACTGGTCGTCCATTCTATACTCGCAGTTACACTGATAGAATCAAAACTAGTAGAATTGTTGTTGTTGCTCGACTCCTTTATGGTTGCTGGTTACAAAAAAATCGAAAAGCACAAGAAAAGAAGATTCTTTTTTTCCCACAAAACGATAGTTTGTATAAAACAAGAAAAGAGAGTTACACCATACCCGCCTCCCTCGAGGGTCAGGCACAAAAATCAATCCCAGAACAACGATTGGAAAACAAAGAAAGGGCATTCTTAGCCACCAGATGGGCTACCCTATTGCTATCCCTCCTCACAAAACGATGTCGCAGATTGGGAAAAGACAACCATTGGGAACGAATCTCCTCGTAGATTGCTCCGCCACGAACATCAGCAACCATCCCTGCATTAACCTTGTCAATCACCACCTTTACATCACCTTCATTCGTGGCAGCATCCCTCCCCATGTTGAGACACCACTGTCCACTGCACCGCCTCCCGAAGCCGCCAAGAGTTCCACTATACTCAGATCATCTATCCCATCAAACAACATCCCTTTGATCATCACCACCGCACCCAATGCATCCCGCAAAACCATCTCGACAGTCGTATGAGAACTAGAGCAAACTGTTGCATCGACAGAGCAGACCACACCCGGTACCCCATCGACGACTTGTCCACCAGTCGGATCCACATCCATAGCCATCGATTGCCTGTGAGCACCACCACTCTAACTCCCTCTTGATTCCCATTCCGACACCTGCAGATGGAACTATCTTACCAAGGCCGCAAATGACATTTGCACCCCTTCAAAAGTAGACAAGCTCCTACTCTTCCATATCCTCCAAAGCAAGCAAACAAGGCGGACAGTCCAACATGGGGAATTATGTTTATCAAACAAGCGTTTGAGGAACAAAACCATATTCAACATGGGGATATCAACCACATCGTGAGCATGACCAGTCGCCTCACACAATGCCACAGCCACAAGACATTCCAGAAAGAGATGCTCAAGAGTCTCATCCTCTGCCCAATAGACAGGACACCGCCCAAAGACTGGAATGTCGCGATTGCGCAAAGCCTCCATGGTGGGGACAATCCTATTCAACACTTGGCATAGGAAAAACCTCAACTTAGGTTGCACCGGAAACGCCAGACCTTCCTCCACAAGGCAATGTCAATAAGATGCGACTTAGACTTCCATTGGGAGAATTTCCCATCCAACATATCTGTCAACTGATATCCTGACTTGAACGAATAAGTCCCAGAAGGTTCTCGGAGCCAGATTATTTTATGTTGCATCGGCACCTGAGGTAACGGAATCGCTCGAATCCCCCGACATGTCCTTTTCGAGAAATCTCCACGTAGACACTCCTCACACCAAGCCCCACTGTCAAGATTGATTAAATCGGAAACTAGTGCCTCCCCAATGGCGACCCTCCAGGAGATGTCTCCGGCACCTCCGGATGAATCCGAAGAATCCATTGACCTGATTTAATTTGGATTGACTCCCCATCTCTAACCTGCTAACAAAGCCTCACCCTAAGTAGAGAGCAACCATGCAAAACACTCCTCCATCCCCATGATGGACGAGACCCTGGCTTAGCATAGAGAATGGACCTATTATGGAAGTATTTATCCTGATAAATACGAGCTAACAGCAACTTTGGTACCACAAGAACCCTCCAAGCTACCTTAGCAAGCAACGCCTAGTTGAACAACTCAAATCTCCGAAACCCAAGCCCTCCCTCATGTTTACTTCGACATAAACGTCTCCATGACATCCATCGTATATTTGATATACCCTCTGAGTAACCCCACCAAAACTGGGCCATGTGCTTATCAAGTCGCCGACATAACGTGGCCAGGAGCTTAAAACAAGCCATCACATGAATCGGTAATGTCGAAGCTACCGATTTAAGTAGGGTCTCCTTCCCCGCCCACGAGAGATGTCGAAGTTTCCACCCATGCAACCTACTAAGTAAAGCCTCCTCCACATACCTAAAGGTTTCCGACTTGGATCGTGCAATCAATGTAGGTAACCCCGGATATTTATCCTGCACTCCAACAACTCCAACTGGAATTTCGTTTATAATATAACAAATCAATTTTATGTCAATTTATGAACGAGTAATGCGTTGTGGTGTAGTGGGAAAACGTCCTTATGCCACCTGTAGGCGTTGTGTTTCATCCTTCTGCCTATGATTCTACTCGATTCAACTCACAAAGCGAGTCAAATTTCGTGCTTATGGGTCTTGCGTTCGGTGTGAGTTTCACCCTGCCTACGAATAATTTATGGATGTTCTTAGTATTTATAACAATATAAACCTAATAATATGGATGATTTATGGATGTTAGCCGTCTTTATTGATATATATTTGTAGGAAAAAATAAGAATTTGTTACATATCTTCCTTTTGGGGATGAGTTATGACAATTTAAATAAGGATTATGTTATGTCTATACCCTTAGAATACTTCTAGAGGAGACATAACATTTTACATAGCTTCACCTAGGGCTGCAAATGAGACAAGCCGCTCGCGAGCAACTCGGTGTTTCGAATCGAAAAAAACTCGCTCGACACTCGACTCGTTGTTTAACAAGGTTAGTAAACGAGCCAAGCTTGAGCTAGAACATGCTCAGCTTGATAAGCTCGTGAGCCAGCTTGACTCGGTGGCTTATTGAACTAAGCTCGCGAGCTGGCTTGTTTAGAGCTTGTGGAATGATTAATTACTCTTTTGAACATGAAAATTATCATGTTAATAAGGATGTGTATGGAAGTTAGATGTTCTTTTTAGTTTCTAGTGTTCTTTTTATTATTTTTAGTTTTTAATATTCTTATTTGTACACATTTTTCAACAAAAAATGGTTTCAAATCGAGCTCATGCATCTTAAGCCGAGCTTGTACTCAGCTTGACAATCCATAACAAATTTATGATCTAATAGTGTTCCATACCCATCAACTTCGTGCAAGTAATGGCATCGTTCAACTCGCGCGTCAACTCTCAAAGCTAATTAAACCTTATTATACAGATCAAGTCACTATAAGCATACTATAATTAACTTATACGAGACTTTTAAGCTCATCCTGTCCCCGGAACAGATCTTGACAGAAGCGATCCTCGCCGGGATCGCTAATTCTGCCTGAAAGCTACGTTTGTGGTGGTGGAGCAGAGGCAGAGCAGGTCGGCCGTTGATTTCATAGTATCGAAGCGTACTGTGTACCTGAGAAAGAAGAAGAAGAAAACAATGCAGACAGCTACGCGAGATTTTGGCGGGAGGTAAGAAGAAAGAAACGTGTAAGCATCACAGCGGCATTTCAGGGCTTATATTATATACGTACTCGCATCACAACATGGTGTGATTGATTGATTGATTCCAATTCCATTCAACATTTTGTCTGCTTAAACTTCATTAAGTATTTTATTATATAGCTTGAAATCCCAGCAGGCATGATTAATTAGGCCCCAAACCCCACTACTAATCATGCTGGTGAAGATCCATTGGGGGCGAGCTGTCATCTGTCAGGTTATCTTAATTGATTGTCGTCATTAGCATAGTAGATTGTCATTAAGCAATCCAAAGGGGAAATCATTAGGACTTAGGAGAATGAGCAGAGTCGTTAATGTGAACGATTATTTTAAACGTGCTAGCTTAGCTCCATCGGTCGACAGAGAGAGCAGGTCGGTTTGATGTACTATGGTGGGCTTCGCTCATTGGGTCTTGCGCCAGGATTTTGGGTTTGGAGGGGCTGAAAATGTTCAGTAGTATATTATCGTAAGTAGATAAAAAATATCAAAATAATTATGTAACTATACAAACAAATTAAAATGTACAAGGTGTTTTTTTAAATAATTAGATTGACTCAAGATGTAATCTATTATGATATCTTCAATATAAATGAGTATAATATCGACAAAAAAGTCGTTTAAAATGTTAAAAACTTATACCCAAAATCGATGTTAGTGGGTATTGAAACCCATGACTGGGAGGATGTAGAACATGTATTACTCCGCTAGGTCAGATGGTTTCACTTGAAACAAGGTTGCACGCGCCGGTAATTATTTAACCACTGTAATTACTACGTAATTTTCAAAATACCCGATCATTCATTCATGATTTTCGAAATTCTCGGGGGGTCCGGGCCCCCTCCCAAGCCCTGTGTAGCTCCGCCCCTGGTCTTGCCACCCTCATCACAAGTTGGGGGGGGAATAGTTGTTTTGGGTCGATTGCATGAGTAATTTGATGTCAAATGATGCGATAGCAAAATAAATCAAATTGTAAATGATTCTTTCCTCAAATGAATAGTTTTTTTTTCTTCTTCATTAGGATTTTCGATTTTAATCGTCTCGTTTTTTCCATATACCAATTTTGATCCCCGAACTATGAGGCTATTACCTATTGTGCCCCTCAACTAATTGTCTCCTCCGGCCTCCCTCAAACAGTTTATATAATTTATAATGAAGACTCAAGCATTATATTTTTTAAAAAAATTGGAGCCCCAAAAATGATTGTAGAATGGGTAATTTAGTAAAAAAATGATTTAAGTGAGAGAAAGTATAAATTTTAAATAAAAAATCGCTAAATCTTGCAACCAATCAAATTGTGCCACATATTGTCTTTTCTCTCTCCTTAGTTACTGCTTCAAAAATAGTAAATGAGTCTTTTTTTTTCAACTCATATTTATATTTTTTATCAAAAATATCATATTCAACCAAATCTACCGGATAATACCCA